GTGCACATACAATCCTCCTGCTAGATATAAAAGTTCTCCAAGTCCCCATTCGGCTCAGGAGCCCAGCAGGCTTCACCCAGTGGATCCCGCATAGGGGCTGCAGGAGGAGCTGCCCACCAGTCCAGAGCAACGCCTGCACTACTCAGCCCTTGGGCTGTCCATGGGACCAGGCGCCACGAAGCAGGGGACGGAGCCCGTCGGGGAGGCTGGGGAGGCTCGGGCCGTGCCGGAGCCCACTGCAGGGGGGTAGCTCAGACATGGCGAGCTGCGGGGTCCCGAGCCCTGCCCCGAGGGGAGACAGCTAAACCTGGCGAGAATTTTGAGTGCAGCACTGGGGGGCCGTCACTGCTGGGGGACCCGCTGCAACCTCCCGCAGCTGCTGGCCTGAGTGCTAAGCCCCTCACTGCCCTGGGCCAGGGGCGCTGGCAGGCCGCTCGTGTGCGGGGCCTGCCTAGCCAGTGCCCGTGCCTGCCTGAACTTGCACTGGCCCGCGAGCGCCACGTGCAGCCCGGGCTTCCGCTGGCACCTCTCCCTCCACACCTCCGGGCAAGCAGAGGGAGGCAGCTCCGGCCTCAGCCAGCCCAGTGAGGGGCTCCCACGGTGCCATGGCGGGCTGAAGGGCCCCTCAAGCGCCACCAGAGTGGACGCCAAGGCCGAGGAGGCGCTGAGACTGAGGGCTGCTAGCACACTGGTCACCTCTCACAGGTAGCAGATTTCACAGAGAACAGATTGCAAATGTTTCTTATCAGACTTAAGTTTAATGCTGGTCAGCTTTTCCTGAATTCCAAAAGGGAGGAGGGTGTAATGAGTTATGTACAACTCTCCCATCCCATCATGGCCTTAACTAGTTTTTCAGGTTAACTTTAGAATGTGCTTGGTCAAGAGGGAGCGTCCATTCAGATGGTTTGAGGCGGGGAGGGCTTACAATTTTATTTTACATAGTGAAGGTTAATTATCTTAGTACAATTAGGTCATCTTCATTTTTCTTTTAAAAATTTTGTCTTCCTTTATCTCCCTGAATACACACACAGAGTATACTATTGTCTCATTGCAAGACCCATTCTCAAATATTATTTTCTTTTAGAGACTCTTGCTGTTATTTAGGTTCACAAAATGGTGTCAGAAGTGAAATAAAAGTGGCCTCACCTCAGATGAATCAGTGGCCCCTCGAATTGAGTGAAGTACCTACTGACCCCTTTGGTCCTCACCTCTTTTTATACCAGGAAAGGGACTGGCACATCTCTGGTTATGTAGCAAAAATCTCCCATAGCCCAAAGGCTGGGGTCTGACATCCAGTCTGACTATATACCTGTGTTGTTCAGTTCCATGAATTTTCCTTAAAAAGGCTGTCTGCAAAGCCAATCTGTGAGTGCTCTCTAGTATTCACCTTTTATTGATATCTGCTCAATATTTAATTTTGGAGATACATTGTGCATGTTATAGTATTTTATAAATAGCTCTAGTAAGGATACTCTGGGAACATGCTAGTCAGAACATATCTCTGCTACTCTTTCCTCTCAATTAAATATCTGACACTTATCACCTGAGCAGAGGAGCTACTGGAGCAAAGAGGGCTTGGGGTACGTGATTAAGCCTTAAAGCCCTGTAACAGTGCCAGTGGAGAGACCAGTTATTATTTGCAGGGCGGTGGAAGGTAGAGTAAGTATTGCATCTCATAAATGAAGCTAACTAATGACGATACAAACAAAGCTGGCACTTATTATCTAAGTCATCTACTTATATTCTTATCAGGCATAAGAAGTTGTACCTTAAATCGAACCCAGGCAGTAATCTTAAGACAATTTTTCTTGGTATGAATAATGGTTCAGTAACATGAATTTCTGTTGACCAGAAATAATGTAGGGGAAAAAAATTAAGTTTAGACACAAAACTGTGTTGGAAAGATGATGCTCTTACTAATTAACACAAACGGAAGCAATGACTCTTAAGAGCCAAAAGGGAGAGAGAATGTAATCCAACTCTCTCATGAGGCTTCGCGAGCTGCCCACAGCCACCAGGTTTGGTTAATCATTCTTGGAAAATAGCCTATACCAATTCATCAAAGTTTGAGGACAAGGGAATAAAAAACAAAATATAATATTGGCAATGAGAAGGCATTACTCTTATTTATAGACGTTTGTATACTGGGAAAACCAATCAACTAAAAACCATGGAGGAAAAAAAGTTTAGATGTTGGCTAGATACAAAAACAATTTGTAACAATAGTTTTTGTGTGTTTACATACAGACAGCCATTCAGGAGCCACAATGCAAGATGACATTCCCATAAGCAACACAATACATAAAATATCAAGTAATAAACTTAGTAAGACATGCTCTACACCTGTATGAAGTAAACCTCTAATGAGGGATGTAAGACTTGAAGACAGAAATAGTCTCTATTCTTGCAGAACATTCAGCCCTTGAAAATATTAGTTATTTCTAAACATTTTATAAAGTCAACACAATGCCAACATAAATCCCAAAGGAGTTTAAAATTTGGGGGAAAACTTGGCCAAAACATTTAGGTTATAGTTCACCTGAAAAATAATTATTGCTGGCCGGGTGCGGTGGCTCATGTCTGTAATCCCAGCACTTTGGGAGGCTGAGGCGGGCAGATCACGAGGTCAGGAGATGGAGACCATCCTGGCTAACACAGTGAAACCCCGTCTCTACTAAAAATACAATAAATAAATAAATGATTATTGCTAAGAATATGAGCAATGAACATTGGCTGAAAGTATTCAGGAAAGCCTCAAAAGTCAAAACAGCCTGTAATTGCAGCACTTTGGGAGGTTGAGGTAGGCAGATTGCTTGAGCACAGGCATTTGAAGCCAGCCTGAGCAACATGGCAAAACCCTGTCTCTACAAAAAAATACAGAACATTAGCCAGGTATGGTCATGGGCACCTGTAGTACTAGCTACTTGGGCGGCTGAGGCAGGAGTATTGCTTGAGCACAGGAGGTTGAGGCTGCAGTGAGCCATGTTTGTGCCACTGCACTCCAGTCTGGGTGACAAAGCTAGACTCTCTCAAAAAAACCCAAAAAACACACAAACAAAAACCACATAAAATATACCGCAGTATAAGGTGTATTAAAATAGTGTGATACATAGATGGGAAAAGACTGAACAACAAAACTGTTCCAGGTGTGCTGAGAATTTGGCATGTGATAAATGTGACATTTGAAATCAGCATAGAAAAGTTAGATAATTTAATAAATAGTATTTGGGATAACTAATTTGTTAGGGGAAATATATGAGTTGTGTCCTCAAAAAGATGTGTTGAGGTCCTAACCTCTGGTACCTATGAATGTGATCTCAACTGGAAACAGTGTCTTTACAGATGTAATCAAGTTAAGAGGAGGTCATACTGGATTAGAGTGGGACTAATCAATCCAATTGACTGGTGTCCTTATAAAGATCTGGACACAGAGACATACAGGGAAGAATGCCAAGTGACAACAGGCAGAAACTGGAATAATGCAGCTATAAGTCAGGGAGTTATCAAGGATTGACAATCACTAGAAACTAGGAAGGGCCCCTCCTCCCCTACAGCTTTCAGATAGAATCTGGCTCTATGGAAACCTTGATTTCAGACCTCTAGTCTCTGAACTGTGAGATAACAAATTTCTGTTGTTTTAAGCCACCCAAGTTTGTGGTAATATATTACGGCAGCCATAGGAAACGAAAACAAAATAATAAAGCTGCATCTCTATCTCTGTCCTCATATGAAAAAAAAAAAAAATCTAGATGGATAAAAGAATTAAATGTAAAACAATCACCACCAAAGACCAGAAGAAAACATGAGTGAAAACTTGCATCAAAGGGGAAGGGCTTTTTAAAAACAGAAGGAAATAAATTTGACTTTATAAACATCTTAAACATCTGTGTGGTAAGTCAAAAGGCAAGAAATTTTTATAAAATAAATCTGTAACTCAGGGCAGATAAAGGGTAGGAAGATAGATATAAACAGCCCATAAAAAAATGGTCAAAGAACAAGATGAGTTGGCATGAAAATATAAATAAGATATAAAAACATGCTCAAATTTACTAAAGAAATGCAAATGCATTTAATGCATAAAGTGTTTTACCGAGATTAAAGACTTATTTCAGTCAATTAGCTAGGGTGTAAAAACAGGTACTTCATTCACATTTCATGGGAGTACACATTGGTATAATTATTTTGGAGGGCAGTAAATATTACATCTTCTTTGGCTATTTCAATTATTTTCACATTTTTGCTTTTCCCATTCTAATGTGTGTATTGTTCATGTAAAGTCTTTTTTTTTTGGTAATTTTCCCACAAGAGAGATCAAAGTCTGTTGAAGGATATTTACTTTTGTGGAATGTGATATGTACGGGGATATCAGTTTGAAAAGCAATTTACAAGACATTACCTCAAAAGAAGTGACTATACCAGTTTCACTGCAAACCACACCACTACTTTTTTCACTAATAGTATCTCATTTGTAATTTGCTTTTTAAGTGAAGAGAAATATCTTTCCAGAAACCAAAGAAATATGATTTGCTACTCATGTAAATGGTATTTCAATGTTTTTGGTGGATTAATTCACAGATTCATATTAATTTCTGAATATTTCTATCCTCTTAGTAATTCTAATAAATCCTTGTGTAACATATATATTAACTCTTGGCTTGCCTCTCACTGGGGATTCTTTCCACACCATGTAATTCTCAAGGTTCCTTCATCCATTTCCATGGCTCTGCCCACCACCTTTATGCTAGACTCCTCAATCCACACGCTCTGTAGCGAAATCTTTTCTTCTCAAACCACTTGGAACAGTGTTCTGCACACTGGGTGTTAATATAGACCTATAAGGACCATCTAAAAATATTAATTTTAGGGTTGTTTTAAATATTAAATATGAACGATTAGCAAATAATTCTGTAGCATTAATGCACGGAAACAAGCAGTGGATATAAAAATACTCTGCTTAACTATGAAAGACTGCCTAAGTGCTTAAATGAATATAAAAACGAGTTTTAAAATTCTTTATTTAAAAATCTCTAACTCTAAGGTTTCATAAAAAATATATACATGTTTTATTTACATTCCATTAATTCTATTAGTTTGAATTAGATTTTAAGTCCAATTTTGAAAAGCTTGCAGAATTTCTTCTGAAATTAACCACTTAAAATTACTGTATGCATAAAACTTACAAAAACATATGCTATTATCAAGGCAGAGAAAAGAAAAAAAGTGAAGTGGCTACAAAGGTCCCTGGGGCATCACCTGCTCACCTAGGAACAAGGAGTACTGGATACTGTTCCTTGTTACTGCTAACCTATCTGGATGTAAAGGGTCATAAATTACTTTTTTTGGTTTAAAAAAAACCAGTCTTTGTAGTTTTCAGGCCAAAATTGAAAATGCCACACATCCTCTTTACACTTTTATCTAAACTAAGTCACTCCCTTTGGTTGATACCAACTAAGATACAATTTCTGAGATCATAATCTTTTCATGAAATCAAAGCAGAAAACTGTCCAGGAAAATGAGACTTCAAAGTTGGTGCATCTTAGCTGATCTCATGAAAATTCTTTGGAACCTTCTGTTGGTCTGTAACCAATCAAGGACTCTTTGCGGCCATCATCCACAAGTAGATCCACTAGCACATGCGGTTTATCATAACCAAAGGAGGTGGGGGCTTTTATTACTGTTATGAGCTCTTGTCCTTCTGTTTTTATTTCACCTTTATTATTTGGGGGAAATTCTGAATCAGATAAGGAGTTACGTGATTCCAGACAGCTGGAATCAGCATCAAAACCATTTCTGGAGTGATCACTATCAGAACAATTTCTGGAGTGATAGGAGTTTAAAGCGTTCTGAACGCTGCAGGGTTCAGACTGGTTACTACTTAAAGGTGAAGAACTCTCTCTCTCTACTGGAGTCAGATGGCTGCCCGGGGCCATGTCAGGAATGTTTTCTTCAGTTGTCACCACTTCTGTTATACTAGAAAGTTCTTCTGTATGCTCTACTTTTCCTGGATTGTCTTCAGTATGCATGCCTGGGACTGTTGCTGGAGACAACGGCTCTTCACAGACCACCTCCTTTTCTAAGGAAAATGGCTGGTATGATGTGATGAGTGATACATATTTTGATTCAGGTTTTGTCTCTAAAGTAGCACTTCTTACCACAGAGATCTATGGGGAGAAAAATTGATTAAAGATAAAAAATTGTTAAGCTTAAGTGCCTACCCTCAAAAAAACAAATGTCTAAAGTAATGGACCACCAAATGGCACATTTAGGATAACAGGTGAATCAGATGGCTGCCTTTTCTTTTTAATGAAAGGTACCATAGTAAGATTAAAAACAACGTTTTAGCATTTTTAAAAAGCCATCAGGTATCTTTTATTATTATTATTATACTGTAAGTTCTAGGGTACATGTGCCCAAGGATATCTTACTAATATACCTTGCTTTTTGAAACATTACTGTGATGGTTAATACTGAGTGTCAACTTGATTGGACTGAAGGATACAAAGTATTGATCCTGGGTGTGTCTGTGAGGGTGCTGCCAAAGGAGATTATCATTTGAGTCAGTGGGCTGGGAAAAGCAGACCCTCCGTTAATCTGAGTGGGCACAATCTAATCAGCTGCCAGCATGGCTAGAATATAAGCAGGCAGAAAAATGTGAAAGGAGAGACTGGTCTAGCCTCCCAGCCCACATCTTTCTCCCGTGTTGGATGCTTCCTGCCCTTGAACATTGGACTCTGAGTTCTTCAGGTTTGGAGCTTGGACTGGCTCTCCTTGCTCCTCAGCCTGCAGACGGCCTATTGTGGGACCTTTGATCGTGTGAGTTAATACTAAATAAACTCCCCTTTATATATATATCTTGATACTTATATAAATATTCCATTAATTCTGTCCCTCTAGAGAACCCAGATACAATTATCTTCCACATGTATGCATATTATGTCTGCAAAGTGAGCACATCTACTTAATATTCTCATTACTTGCCTTCATCATTGTAATTTTTAGTGGCTCATATTATTTCTTTATACTGATAAATAATTTCTCTAATAGATGTGGAAATGTTTCCAATTTTTACTAGCTATACAACATGTTAAATATCCCGCACATCTTTTTATTTATCAAATTATTTCCTTATAATACATTTTTTAAGAGTGGAGTGACTATATTGAAGAAATGGCATGTTTACGGCACTATTACACCAAATACCCACTGTGTGCTTTTCTTCTTAGCAGGGCTAGATTACTTTTAGCCAGCATTTACCCATTATCCTACTACTACTGGATATCCCGGTTTCTTTTTTCTTCTCTAGTGTAAAATGGCAAACTGCAAGGTTGCTTTGTGCTTAATTACTAGTAAAAAATAAAATATTACAATTCATTTGTGAGTTGACTACTAATTGTTGAGAGTTCTTATCTACTGTACTTAAAGGTAGTTTTTTTAATAGCAAATTTTAATGTGCCCTTTGAGCATCACAGATATTATTCCTGTCATATTTGATTCAAATAGATACTATTCTGTTACCTTTAAATGTTCTTTTCATCAAAGGCTTTGAAATGTTGGACATTAAAATCACCAAACTCCTATGTTAGTCTCATTTTTGGCCAACTTTCCTTTTATACTCCAACAATAATGAAGTGTGTCCATATTTGCAGATCTTTCAAAGTCATGCTTTCTTGGCTCTGCACCTCGGCACATTCTGTCTGCTAGTGCCTAAACTCCTGTGTGTCTCTCAAGACTGCTCAGGCATTGCCTCTGGAAAAGCCATGACTAACCCCATCCCAAAGCTGGACAAAGTCCTCACAGGCTCAGGTATAAACCTTTGAACCTATCACACTGTATATATCCAATGTATACTTATCTTTTCTTTCCACTAGACTTTAAGATCTTTAACAGAATTGTCTGTGTTTTTGCCCTGAGAATTAAAACAAAACAAAACAAAACAAAACAAAAAAAACGTGCTGCATAGCAAAAGACACAGTATGTCATTTTGGATGTGTGGTAGACTGATTGATGGCAGGTGACATGCTGTTGAGTATCATTCCACTTTAAAAACATAATTTAAGAAACTATCAAAAATGGTTCAAGTTAACCTTTTACTATGTACAAAAAAAATTAAATACATTACCAAAGACTTGGGTAATATTATGCTTTTTTCCTTCAATGGATTAATCTTCTTAATATAAAAACAGATCAATACCAGGCTAAGTACTAGAAAGAGTAGTAAAGCAGCAACAACTGGAATCCAAAGAGAACCTTAAAAAAGGCAGAAATCGCAAATTACAATTAAGATGGAATACTGCTATTATCTATCAAAAAGTCTTAGTGCCATTCTTGAATAGATTTACACATTAGTGAATATGGCCAGAGTTTTAAAGAACACTGAAGGAAGCAGAAGTTAGGAACTCCGAGTAAAAAATTAGGTATCTGTCTTGGATAGCAATATGAATCTTCCCAGCTCTGCAATTCTAGAACTTTCTGGGACTATTCTGCTATGACATAATATAGTTAATATAGCTTTTCCACAATAATTTCCTTACAGCCCTACATACAGTATGTTTCCAGGGTTATGCACTTCTTTCAGTTAAAAATGCAAAAGAATAATTTTAAAAATATCTCTCCTTAGAAATAAATTCTTACAGCTGGGCACGGTGGCTCATGCCTGTAATCCCAGCACTTTGGGAGGCTGAGGCAGGCGGATCATGAGATCATGAGATCAAGAGATTGAGACCATCCTGGCCAACATGGTGCAACCCCATCTCTACTAAAAATACAAAAATTAGCTGGGTGTGGTGGCGTGTGCCTGTACTCCCAGCTATGCGGGCGGCTGAGGCAGGAGAATCACTTGAACCTGGGAGGTGGAGGTAACAGTGAGCTGAGATTGTGCCACTGGACTCCAGCCTGGTGACAGAGCGAGACTCCATTTCAAGAAAAACAAAAACAAAAACAAAAACAAAACAAAACAAAAAAGAAAGAAATTCTGGCAATGTTTATACTTCTTAAAATGATTTAGCCCCCACTCCTCAGAATTTTCTGTTACATTTATTTATTTCATGACTGCAAATACTTATAAAGTTTCACAGATGTACATGCACACAGGAATGTTGCACAGGAATAAAGTCCCCTTAATTACAAACCAGACATAAATAATATAAAATAGGAAAGATTTGTGTCCAAGCACAGACATCTAGAATCACCATTGTGTATTTTGCTCTAATGATGCTTTTTATTTCTGCAGCATAGTCTTCAGTATTTTTTTTTCATAGTTCTCTCTTCCAATTAACAGCACTCTAACATACTGTGGCAATGTCTGGCTTCCTTTAGGGCATTTTGTTACCTAGAATTTTCTAACTGTGGAAGTTACTAGTTAATGAATGCTTCTATTACGCTTATTACAGGATGTGAAAAATGTTAAATCATTACAAAAGTAAAAAATAACTACAAAACCACTCCCTTTAGTGTTGTTAGAAGTCCCATGGGCTGAGCAAGTGCTGGCTACAAGGCATTGAGGCAAGCAGGCAGGGGCTGCTGCTCAGGAGCCACAGTGATGCTATCGTGTGGCCATATTATCAGTGCAGTTTATAATTCAGGCTAAAAACAAATCTGGGGCATTTGCAGTATTTCAAATTTTGAGCATTAAGAAGGGTTTTATTTTTCAAATACCATAATGAAAATTAGCATAAAATGTACTGCACTGCTTTAAGTCACCTATTTGAAACCTTCATATAATGGCTGGAAGTTATTAGTATTGAATTTTAGGTGTTTGTTCTGACTCTTCAGCCTATATTTCCAGTCTTCGAAAATATACTTGCATCATAAAATTTTAGTAAATTTTTAAACCTATGAAATATATTCTAAAAAATTCCCAAGAAAAAATGTATATATATATCTATATATATACACCCATATATATGTATATATAGATATATATACACCCATACACACAAAGATAATCATCAAAGCATGAGTTATCATAGTGAAAACTCCTATACTCTTGAAAGTCCAAAAACAATAAAACATTAAATACGTAATTTATATAGTGAAATTCTACAGACATTAATATTAATGAAGTATCTGAAATAAAATGGAAAAATATAATATATGCTTAAAGCAATACACAAAATCATATATACTATACAATATGATCATGTCTATGTAGAAAAACTAAAGAAAATATCAAACTGTGAGTAATGGGGTACTTTTGCATGGTAGAACTAGAGATCATTTTATTTTCTTCTGGCTTTTCATATTTTATAAATTATCTATAATGAACACTTATATTTCATAACTACAAAGAAAAGTCCAAACTTCTTTAAGATACCTGACACCTGAGAGTAACAGTTCTAAAGTTCAAGTTCTAACATATATATCTCTACCTCCCAACCCCCTATATTAAAAGATGAAATAAAATTAATTATTGTAAAATGCTATAAAAATGACCCATTATTTATTATTCAAACCCATCTATAAACTTTTTTGGATATTAACCGCAAGTCTTTGTCCAGTCCACATCATACAGTTGTAATCAATGAGTGTTCCTGCTCTTCAGTCTTAAATTACAATCCCCATAGAGAACATTTTAGTGGATTCATAACATCTTGCTATGGTGAAGTAACAAACTGACTTATAATTCATAATCCTGAGATGCAAACATTTGTGCAGTTTTATGTACTTATTATATTTTTTTTCTTTCCTGGGTCAAGGGGCCATCACATGGCTTTCCAAATTGGTTGTTCTATATCTTTTAATGTGTGAGAAACTGCTTTATTTTTAATTTTGAACTTTTCTAAGGAATGGAACTAATGGAACTGAATATTGTTAAAACAGATCTTTTGAAACTGCAAATGAGTTTGCTTCCTTCACATGATCCTGTTTTAGTTACTGCTCCCTCTATATTTAGAAAAAAATGGCAAGAATTTACCTTTTATGCTGCTATTGAAAATGGTAATACAAACTTCTTTTGACTTTTCAGTTGTAACGCCCCATACATGTAAGACTCCTTCTGCTGAAACACAGTACTGAGAATTCAGTGAGGACACTGGAATCGCTAACTGGCACTGAATCTCGTCACAATCATCTTCCTTCTGCGTGAGTATTTTATACTGGATCTAGATGGAAAAAGAAAACAGTGAAAATGCACAGCTTCTTTTAATCTGCATTAAAAAAAAAATCACCATACTAGTCCTGGTCAAACGACTGAAGAAAACATGTATGACTGATTTGAACATGTCTAAAAATAGCTTTGATATCAATAAGTCAATTTGTTACTTCAACATACCACGATACTATGCATCTGTTATATTCCTTATAAAGACGGTTAATTTAAAAACTCAAATTGCAGAAATGTTTATTGTTAGTTGTTAAACTAACAAATGTTCATTTGTCCTACTCATTTGTCCAGAAACTTAGCTGGTGAGAAACGGAAGTATTAATATTACTTTACAACACTGCCAATGAGGAAGAAAATCCTCATTTTACCAGTGGAACAATGGAGGTGTACTGGGAAAAATCCTAGATTACAGCTGTTCTGCTAAGTGAAGCAAATAAAAACGTAAATGTATTCATGTAGTCAGTGTTAGTAACTAACTCCATATCATTTTTGCTTTAATAGCATTCACATATTTTTTTCTTATCAAAATCTATGATCTGTGAGTCTTGCTTGAATATTTATAAGCATTCTATTTTCATTACACTACAGAAAGAAACAACTTCTGCTAGCTACACAAGAATTTCCATTATGAAAAATGTGAAATAGAAACATATACCTCACTTCCGTTCATTCTCACATACACATTGTACACCTTAATGTAACAGGTAGTTTCTGGATCATAATCGACTTCCTGCTCTTCTCCATTTACAAAAACTGAAGGGTGAAATACGTCAATCATGATTTGCTTCTCCTCCTTTCTGATATCCAGTTTAGGTGGTCCAATTTTTCCTGGGGAAGGAGGAGGAGAAAGTATAATAAGTACTTGGAACTTCAAGGTACATTTCATAAAATTACCAGAATCTGTCAATCAGCCTTTTCTTTTTTTGTTCTGGTTGTTCTAAAGCAGGACCACATTTAAACCACTCCACAAATATCTAGAAGATAGTCTCAGTGTCCTTTATAAACAAATGTTTCATAAATCTTAGGAAAGAAGCACTCTTACCTAATCTAAATGCCTCTTTAGCAGTTTAATTTCATTTCTAAACAAAAATAGTTATAAACTTTGGTTTAAAAAAGACTTCACATAATATAAACTCTATTAAGTAATTTTTCCTTTATCTTTGCTTCTGTGGATTAAGAAGCCTGGTTTCTAAGAAACGCTTCAGAAATGGCATTAGTTACCTTCCCTCACCAAAACTTTTTACTGTGAAAGATCAGAACTTACTCCATAAATGTTTATTAGGTCTTTGATGTTTGAGACTTTGTTGGTGAACCATTTATCTAGTCTTCACATATTACTGTGTACCACTGTGTGCCAGGCAGTTCTGTTTTTAACGTATCACTGTATCCTCAGGGCCCGGTATACTTTCCGGCACATAGTAGGCCCTTGATAAATCTATATGGAAAAAAATCTAACATGCAGACGGTGTGGTAATCAGATGACAAAAGTGTGGACTCTGGGGAAGAAAAGTACTTAAAGGGCAAGGAGAGGAACAGCCTGTAGAAGAGACCAAGGAGGCACAATGTGAAAGGCAGGAGCAGAGCAAGGAAGTGAGGCTAGAAGGAAAGGGACCCAGGGGCTAGAAGACCAGGGAGGAGTCAAGTGACTAAAGGTGTCTTTCACCCAGGAGTGAGGGTCTGAGAGCTAAGGCAGGATGTCATAGTCCGAAAACAGGATCTGGCACTAAAGATTCAGGAGTTTGAGGTGACAGCAAACATCAGGTACACTATGGGAGTGGGATGCTGGAAGAGTGAAGACCTGAAAATCACGGTGGCTGAAGAGAATAAGGAACTCTGCAATTTTTAAATGTATTAAGGTGGTATTCAAACTCCCCAGGCATTAAGAATAAGAGTTAGCTGCCAAAGTCCTTAGTGAATATAACTTACAAATGAATGACAAAAGATGGGAAGGGCAAGGGTGGTGCAGGGGACCGCTGGGCAGCACAGACCCATAATTGTATGAAGTGGAAATGTCATAGCATAGAAGCAGCAAAGTGATGGCCACCTGTTAGCCCTATTTTGTGGGGCTTGAAAGAACGGGAGGAGGATACAGGTTGAGTATCCCTTATCCGAAATGCTTCAGACCAGCAGTGTTTTAGGTTTCTGAGTTTTTTTTTTTCTGGATTCTGGAATATTTGCATTATACTTACCAGTTGAACATTCCAAATCTGAACATCCAAAATGCTCCAATGAGTATTTCCTTTGAGTGCCATGCTGGTGCTCAAAAAATTTCAGATTTTGGAGCATTCTGGTTTCCAGACTTGGGATGCTCAACCTGTACTGACTCTCTAAATACCTCCAAGTGCTTCTTAAGCACTGTGATAATTTTCAGCAACTGTTAATAAAAGCAAATATATAGAAGACATGTATATTTTCCAATTTAAAATTTACATGTGTACATATTCTACTCACCATCTCGGCACACAGCAAATTCTTTTGACTTTGCATAGGCAGATTCTTTTTGTCCAACCCTGGCTTTAACTCTGACCCAAAGAGAATTTGATGGATCACCAACGTGATCAGAAATATTACAATAATGATGAGAAATACTGATGCAGGCATCAATCCATTCTGCATTCTTAACACTAAAAAGAATTAAAAATGTGAAGATAACTTTTACTGTTATTAAATAAACTCAAACCATTTCTGTCTGTGCTTTGCTTTTTATTCACAGCACAAAGCGGTAGAAAGAGCAGAGTAAGAATAGGATGGAGACGCTAGAGAAAGTAGGAAGCCCTTACTCTTTAGTTAGAAGAACTACAAACTCCGTTACAGTAAACAGGCTGAATTCAAAATGTAAGACCTATGCAAGCCACATTCCACATTCAATTTTTTAAAAATCTGCTTTTTTAAACAACTCTAAATTCCATTAATATACATGTTAATTATAGGATTAAGCACATTACAAAAACTAACAGTTGTCAAAAAAGTTTTTTGAAATTTATATTGTTCTACTAAAAACTACATACACTATAGGAAGACAACGTACTAACTAAGAGGCAGACACTCGCTCTGTCGCCCAGGCTGGAGTGCAGTGGTGCGATCTCGGCTCCCTGCAAGCTCCGCCTCCCGGGTTCACGCCATTCTCCTGCCTCAGCCTCTCAAGTAGCTGGGACTACAGGCGCCCGCCACCACGCCCGGCTAATTTTTTGTATTTTTCAGTAGAGATGGGGTTTCACTGTAACTATTAGCTTTATTTGTCATGCTAATCTCAGTTTAGTGATACTTCTCTACTTCAATACTGATAAAGAAGAGGAAATAAGAGGCAAGAAATATCTGGCAAAGAATTTGCGTCTTTAGCACTTTTGGACATCTACAAGCAGTTCAGGATGTTTTGCCATGTGGGAAGGATGATGAAAGGAGAACACAGTTGTGGAATTTGCAAGGACCTAAACAAAAATGGATAAATCAAAGAGTGACACTCACCCATAGTTCTTTACCTCTACGGTAAAAACAGGGACCTGTGGCATGATCTGGTACTCCCAATATACGATGGTGTTCATGTTATAGGACTCAATTGTAACATTAGTTGGTATAGGCACTGTAAGAGAATAAAAAAGTAAAATGGACAATTGTAAGAAACGAACAATATTGGAAAACCTTATTGTAAGATGCCACATTAGTCAGATATGTATATTTGAAGAAAAGCAGAATTCACCAGGATACCAAAATTATTTAAATTAAGAATAGATATCTAGAAGTTAATTTTATTGAAAAATCTATAGAAGAATTCTGATTCATTTTAAATTATGGAAACACTGCAATATAAAGGAAACACAAATACACCATGAAGCAATAAATTCTCATATGATAGAAGTTTTATAATCAAATGCACTGACTACTGTAATAATAATCCTCATTTCATCACTAGAATTTTCAATATTTGATACTGCAGATTGTATTCAACATTGATATGGTTTGGCTGTGTCCCCATCCAAATCTGAACTTGAACTGTATCTCTCAGAATTCCCCTATGTTGTGGGAGGGACCCAGGGGGAGGTAATTGAATCACAGGGGCTGGTCTTTCCCATGCTAGTTTCTTGATAGTGAATAAGTCTCAAGAGATCTGATGGGTTTATCAGGGGTTTCTGCTTTTGCTTCTTCCTCATTTTTCTCTTGCTGCCACCATGTAAGAAGTGCCTTTCGCCCTTGCCATGATTCTGAGGCCCCCCCAGCCATGTGGAACTGTAAGTCCAATTAAACATCTTTTTCTTCCCAGCCTTGGGTATGTCTTTATCAGCAGCATGAAAACAAACTAATACAAATGTCTACAGAGGAACTGGCTACACTAAGGATGGCCAATTTCACTCTAAAATACCACCAACCTCTCAACTCTACACATAATACTATTATGCCTTCAACACTTTTTCTATAGTACAGGAATAGATACCTAAAGATTGAACAATGGAGCCACACATTCCAGTTTCATAAACATTCTGCTCTCTGGGGTGTGAAGGGCTTTTTACAAAACATACCCAAAATTTCTTCTTGCCTTCACTCTTTTAAACCTTTCAGAAAACATCTGTTGATAAGACTTGAAAGAGTCATGCAAGAGGAGAGACAGAAGTCATTTTAACATCTAATCAGACACTACCAAAATCTAGTCATTAAAAATAGTCACAGGCCAGGTGCGGTGGCCCACGCCTATAATCCCAGCACTTCGGGAGTCTGAGGTGGGAGGATCTGTTGAGCTCAGGAGTTGGAGACCCCATCTCCACAAACAATTAAAAAAATAAGCCAGGTAAAGAGGCCTGTGCCTGTAGTTTCAGCTACTTGGGAGGCTGAGGAAGATCGCTTGAGCCCAGGAGGTCAAGGTTGCAGTGAGCTGTGACTGTGCCACTGCATTCAGTCCTCTTAAAAAAGAAAAAAAAAAAAAAGGTAGTCATTTTTCCCCACTGTTCAGTGTAAAAGGTTGTTATCCAACACCCCTTGGAAAACTGAACACACATACTCCTCCTTTCTCCCTTCACTTCTTTATAAACATGAATGTATACAGTGACCCCAAATTTATGGTTATTCAATCTCACCTAGCTGGAACATTCTGTTAAACATGATTTACTTATATAATTAAAACAAATAAATGAATGGCAATGTGGACAGGAACAGTGGCTTCCAAACATAACTTATAATCATCCTCAAAAATTGTGAGAGGGACAGAAGTTTCTATTTTTTTCAAAGTGCCTTAGATGATAATGATGATTATTTATATTTATATCAAGCAGACTGCTTAAATAAGAAAAATACTCCCTGGGTCAAACATTAATAAACTTGGGTTCTTTCTTGACCACACGGCTAAATACTTCAGATTTCCTGATCTTTCAAGTGAGGTGTTACTTTCACATCCCTAAGATATTTGCTTACTGATGAAGGGAAAATCTATATTTTCCCCGAAACAAAAATTCTAATATTCAAGACCAAACTGGTATATTGCCTTAATTTACAGTTATTTAACATATATATTATATTTTCAAAGCAGAACATGGATCAAGAGTTATTTAGGTAAATAATTGGCACTAATGAACCATTAAATGCTATCATCATTATTATTTTCTTTTTCTGATTATTTTTTCCTTTATTGCAGTGGTTCTCTGTGGGAAGCGATTTTGTTGCCCAGGAGACAGGCAATCAAATGTCGGTAGACATTTTTGGCTCTCACAACCTGGAGAAGAAATGCGGGGGGTAGGTACTGCTGGCATTTAGAGGGCAGAGACCAAGGGTGCTGCTAAATATCCTAAAATGCACTGAACAGCCTCCACAACAAAAAATAATATAGCCCAAAATGTCAGTAGTGCCAAGGTTGAGAAACCCTGCTTTATGTTTACAATTTAAGTGTTCTTCTTTAAAAAAAAAAATTATGAGGAAAAACTAACTTAAAAACAGAATGCTTTACAGTAGACCAGTATATTTCATGGCTCCCCTCAAACAAATGAATAGATTTGGTTATTGCCAAAATATCTAACTTCTATATTATTTACCAAAATGGTGTAATAATTTGGGCCAAAAGGTTGAGATTATAAAGCTGGGAGGGTCTGAAGATTCAAATACTTCATACTACTAACTTGACCTTTTTGTGGCCAGTGACCAGACACCTAGTTTTTCTCCTTCTGCTTCCAGAAGCGCTGCTGAAGGCTGTTGGTACCTGCCATCTCTGGTTCTCTAAGCAACTTCCTTGTAGGTGATCCCAACAGCACTGCTCTCGCCAGAGTAGCCTTGGCTCTTCGTTTTTTGTAGAGTTCCCATGGCTATTCATAGCAGGGTATACTGAGGCTTCCTTAAGAGTGTCTTTTTTCTATCACATGCTTGCATCTCAACCTCCTGAAACAACTCAAATACTTCACAATCCATATTTTAGGTAGAAATAAAAGTCACTCTTCTTCACCTGGGTTCAATCAACACTAATATCAAATAACAATCACACATATAAACACACTTTTTCAACCAGAAAAGAGAGGTACTTGATGCTAAGAAAACTCATACTAAATCTGAGCCTTCCTTCAGAGGCCATTTCTTCATTTTGGCATTTTTTGCCTCTTGAGAGGCTGAGAATTTTCAGACCAGGTGGTCCTGGTTTCTTTTTAACAGTTCTTCCCATGATTGAGCAGTCTCACCTGTTACCATAAGACCCAAGAAAAAACCAGGTGGCACTTTCAGCACTTTGCTTAGAAACCTCCTGAGCTAGATCACATAGCTCCTCAGATATTCTCTACTTTTGGTGTCACTGAAAGCTACAGTGTCACTCAGCTTTCTGCCACTACATAGCAAGGATCGCCATTCCTCTGGTTTCCAAGACTGGAAATCCTTCGCTTCCTTTTAAGCCCCATGCCTCCACCTTTTTTTTTTTTTTTTTTTTTTGAGATGGAGTCTCACTTTGTTGTCCAGGTTGGAGTGCAATCTCTGCTCACTACTACCTCCACCTCCTGGGTTCAAGTGATTCTCCTGCCTCAGCCTCCTGAGTAGCTAAGATTACAGGTGTGTACCACCACACCCGGCTAATTTTTGTATTTTTAGTAGAGATGGGGTTTCACCATGTTGGTCAGACTGGTCTCAAACTCCTGACCTGGTGAACTGCCCACCTGGGACTCCCAAAGTGCTGATATTACAGGTGTGAGTCACTGGGCCCTGCCTAAGCCCTTCTTTTTAATTATTCCCAATAGGAATGGCTTTATAATGGTATATACTCAACCTGAAATTTCTGTATGTGTCAATCTGCATACCAGAATATCAAAAAAAGTGCATTTGTACTTAGGAAGGGGCTATTGAATCACACAATGGAAAACTACAAACAGGAGGAGGCTTGTGCAGCATTAGATTAATTTTTAATGTGAACCAAAGTATGTTTCCTATAATTTAAGTAAAAGCCTGATATGGTTAGACTAGGACAAGGACTTAAATCATAGCTTGCAAGGCAAGACAGACAGGTGGTAGGAGGAAAAGATTTCAATGATTTATAGAAAAAGAAATTACTACTAGGTTAAAAGAAAAACTTACACCCAAAAGATGTAACCTGTGGTTTTTAATGCTACCAGAGGAGAAACTACGTGGTTATGAGACATCTGCCTTTGTTTTGCCAAATATTACTTTTTGTCAAATATTATTTGCCAAAATAATATGACAGACATAAGCAGTTTTCTTAAGCTGCAGAATTTTGTAATGTGAGGTTTAAATTGTTATATATTCAGATTAAATTAATTAAGGCTTACAATAAACTTCTAATATATTTATACTATGTAAATAAAAATATATGTAGAAATAGCAAAAGAGTATTATTATCTCTAGGGCTTAAGAAAAGATCTTACCAGAGTGATTTCATGAAATAAGATCATCTTACAGATTTTCTCATCTCTTGAAAATGCCAAGATAGATAGTTTTGTGTAGCTCATGTTGCTTTTGGAAATGGGCTCAGAATTATTTAATGTATTACATCTGCATACTATCCAGAGTAAACTTTAGCTATTTTAAGATCTAATTCCCAGAACTCCCCTACAACTCACAGCTAAGAATTTAAGAAAACCAAACACAGGAGAGAAGAAGTTGTTTTTCCTAACACTTTAATTACAATGCAGAAAAAAAGGAGGGCCCTGGTTAAAGCCAACTGTTTCCTCAGAAAGCTGATAAGCCAGAAGAGACAGGATATGAAAAAACAGAGACAAAATAAAGGAGCAGTGAAGATCAGCAGGTGACACAGAGCAGTGCTACCGACACGGGACAATAAGAATGTCACAAAGGACCAAAACATAGCAGTTGTGATAGCTCTGCAATAAATGTTGGTGAATGTAGGGTGGATGGCAAACTACAGATACCTGCAGTATAGTCTGAGGACACTGGCCATTTCCTCCGCATACATAGGTGACAGGAACCAGGGCTGCTACCTGTGCTCCATCCTGTAACCACCAAAAGCATCTGTGTCTCTTCAAAAAATGACAGCCCGAGGAGTTCATCACCCATCTTAACACACCAGTGTAAAAAGACTGTATAAAAGTTATGTACACCTATGGTGGAACGGGGCTATGGACTCTACAGAAATCATCCGACAACCTGCTC